GGATCAAGCCGCACGGAAAGTGACTGGTCGTCGACGATTCGAACCGCTCTTCGTTGAATACGGTCAAGTGGAAGGAGCTGGTACTGGGGAGCTCCCGCCCAGAGGTGAGAGCAGTACTCCATATGGGGCCGAATTTGCGCTTTATATAGTTGCAAGCGGTGGCCCGGAGTGAAGTACCGTCTCGCCTTGCTGAGCACACCAAGCTTTTTGGAGGCTAATTTAGCCTTTCCTTCCAGATGACCGCGAAACTGAACGTTATTCGATATGTCAACGCCCAGTATTCCGATGCTAGCTGAGGCTTTAAGGAGAGTGTCTTCAAAGAGGGGAGTAGCGACAAAGGGAGTTTTTTTAGCGGAAAACGCGCATACTTGTGTCTTCTTGGGGAGTACGTAGAAGAGTTTCGACTTCAGACACAAGTTTGTTCCGGTACTCATCGACAACAGCCCGAGAGATACCTGCCCGGCCAGTGTAAAAAGTATCCCCAGTGCTGTCGTCCGCATAGCAATGAATGTTGCTAAGCTGCAACATATCATTGATATGCAGAATAAACAGGGTCGGGGATAGGACACAGCCTTGTGGGACACCAGCATTCACAGGTTTCAGGTCGGAGCATGCTCCGTCGATGACGACTTTGATGCTCCGATCAGCGAGAAAGCTGGAAATCCAGTTGCATAATTTCTCAGGGAGCCCATAGGCTGGAAGCTTCGAGAGCAGTGCTCTGTGCCACACCCGATCGAAGGCTTTCGCTATGTCCAAACTTACCGCCAGCGCCTCCCCTTGGACTCAATTGCCTCTGCCCACCTATGTGTAAGGTATACAAGGAGGTCACCAGCCGAGCGACCACGACGGAAGCCGTACTGAGAATCGCTAATCAGCTGGTGGCCCTCTAGATACCTCAAGAGCTGGCAGTTAATAATGGTTTCCATTATTTTGGAGAACAAGGAGGTTATAGCTATTGGGCGATAGTTGGACGGATCAGAGCGATCGCCTTTTTTAGGGATCGGATGTATCGAAGCGATCTTCCAGCACTTCGGAACAGTGCCGAGCGTGTAAAGGTACCGGAAAAGGCGCGTTAGGACCGGAGCCAACTCAGGAGCACAAGTACGCAGCACAATTGGAGGGATGCCATCAGGCCCGCTCGACTTATGGATGTCCAAGGAAGACAAAGCTTTACGGATAGCACGTTGCCGGAATATAACTTCGGGCATCGTAGTATCACACCGCAATAATGTCGGTGGTTCCTTCCCTTGATCATCCAAAGTGGAGTTCGACGCAAAGAGACAGCCTAGAAGATCGGCCTTCTCTTTCGCGGTATGGGCAAGTGAGTCATCCTCCCTATGCAGTGGTGGAATTGAGGGCTGACAGAAATTCCCTTGGACAGCTTTGGCAAGAGACCAGAAGGCTCGAGTTCCCGAAGGGAGGTGGGCCAATTTCTCACCAAATCTGGCAATGTGCTCTGACTTTGCTTTAGCGATTTCTCGCTTGAAGGACCTGGAGGCTGAATTGTATGCTTTTTTACGTTCGCCGATAGTCACATCACAGGATGTCACCGCTTCTGCCCAGGCTTTAAAGCATTCACGCTATATCATATTTGCATTCAGATAATTTATGTAGTCAATTTTTAAGTAAAATATCGTTGTGATGTACCACGGTACTTCTGTATTGTCTTATCTTCTGTTACGCTTGATTCGGACAGCGCGGAAGGTCACCTATGCGTTGGACTAACCAGATCAAGTCTCCCGTAGGAGGTTCACTCGACGACTGCAGTAGGATGACCTCTAGGCAACGATGGCGAAGCGTCGTGAAGGGCATCACATCTGCTCCTTTATATAACTACTACATAGCGATCACGACCGCTCTGTCAGGAGTTTACCGGATAAGAAGAAGAACTTCTGTATTGTAAGTGAAGAGATTACAGAACATTTTTAATATAATTTTTTTTCACCATAATTTATCATACATATGGTTTAAACGTAGCAGCAAACGCATCAAAAATCCACCAACTTTTTATCTGGGTGATACATACTCGTAAGTGATACGAAGTATATCTTATGTTCCATAATAAACACTGCTTTTTTGGTTCACTTGGGTTATGCTAGACGCACTTGAATTTGATTATTTGATTAATTTTATTTATTTATATATTAGTTATATTTATAGTTTTTTTGTGAGTGTTGTGATCGTAAACGCAAAGTATTAGCTATTCTCTCTCAATGTTTCCATACTAATTATATTCTTATCCTTGACTGACAATTGTGTTTATTCATGTTAAGAATATATTAGGCATTGATATACAAATAACCCAAGATGCACACTCAACGTCCAAAAAACGTCCCCAAAAAATGAGTGCAACATTCTAAATTGTGCGCTCATTTCAAATAGTCTCGCGTCGCTCGCGTCTGGGAGCAGTCGTTAAAAATGTCAAAGTGTTCTGTGAGAAATTGTAAAAATATTACGTCAAGAAGGCTAACAAAGGATGGGATATCGTATTTTCGGTAAGTAAAAAACTTTATTGATTAGTTTTTGTTGTTTTTATGACTGATTATAACAAGCAATGTGTGATTTTTATTTATTTTTTCTAAAAACTTCATTCAACGCACAAACTTCTATACGGCCAACTTCAATGGCTGCTTGTTCAGTGTTAGAACAACGCATTACAGTCTTCTTTTTATTTTAGTCGCATTATAAAAATGACCCTGTTCTAATAAGTGGAGTCGATTTTTTTTATTTGTGTTTTTTTTATAAGTAAATTTATGTACTTTAAAAGTGCTTTAAAAGTGATTTGATTTTTGCAAAATAAATACCATTCATTATCGTTTTGAACCAAATATTTGAATAAACAATTTTAACAGTTATTATTTGTTTTTGAAGTTATACTTCTTTAGGCGCGTTATGAAAAATTTATAAGAGTGAAATCTTACGATGCGCGCGCACCGTGACACAAAAATTATCAGTATGGGCGCCGAGCGTGCGCGAGCGAGATGGGAATAAGACAATCTAAAAGTAAAAAGAAATAGAATATGCGTGACGTTAGCAGCTATGCCAAGAATTTTGAATGACCATAATGACATTTGTAGTACCATTTAAACAAATAAAAGAGTTTTAATTATTTTTTCAACGAAGTTTAGCAATGCTTTTTCACAAAGAGCTTTTGTTACTTATTAGTTAAAAGGTTATGAAACATAACTAGTTATTAAATTGAATTAATAATATAATAAAATAATAAATCATAATTATTATTAATATTAATTGATAATTGAATAATATACTAAATATTAAATATTGTTAAATTATTAACGCTAAATATTTATTAATAATTATTTAATATTTAAAAACAATAAAGAAAGCCAAAGAAGTATAACTTCTTACGCGCGTACATAAGTACACCCACCATTTTTTTTTGATATACCCATAGGCTACCCAAAAACATATATATGCACAAATAAAAGTATATTTATGTGTTTAAAACACAATTTAACAAACTCTTAAAATACTCAATAGTAATGTATAATGAAAAAAAAGTCATGTTCGACTCCACTCAATACCTTGTCCTACCGACCACGGTCGGTCGTAAAATTTTATTGCTTTAAGTACACTGCATTGTAATAACAACTTTAAATAGTTCCCGTAAGGTTGATTTTGCAATAATATATGCTTGTAACTTATAGAAAGAGACAGAAATAGTTTTTCGGGACACTTTCGAGCGTTACTTTTATTCGAGACTGTGCATCTTGGGTTTTTTGTATATCAATGATATTAGGGCTTCTTATTTTAAGTTTAATTGTGTAACACTTGCCACCGAACCGTTCTGTATGGTACACAAATAATAATAATCTAACATAAGTAATATTTAAGGCAGTTTCTGCTACGCATGCGAGCTCTTTGGCAATATTAGTGTCTATAGGTTATTACTTAACATCAGGTGTGCCTCCTACCCGTTTCCTGGTTTAAAAAAAATAAATAATCTGATAGCTTACAGAATTAACCGACAAAGTTCTCTTAAATCCATTATGATCAGGCGCAGTGGCGACTACAATACACGCTCCACATCCACCCTCCTTGCACATATATTTTGTTCCTCGTAAATTAAGACGCTTGCGCAAGTAATCGTTCAGTGTCTCGTCTGAATCCACTTCGGATCCAGCTAAAAACATTTATGTATTTTAAATAATTTAATATTAGTAAAACGACATTTCAAGAAAGAGAGGTAGGCCACTGGAGGGTTGGTCTGATGGAATTAAATTGATTGGGGGAGTATATTAAAGAGAAAATATATAAATATATTATTTTAGCGGAGAATAGAGAAAAGGGAGTGACCTGGAGGAAGCTTTTACTTATGAAGAGGTCTTGACATCTCTTTTATTTCATATTAGTTACATTTTAATTATTTTTTTATTGTATTTCTATATTATGTAAGTAGTTGTCAAAGATTAGATAGGCTTTCTATTTGTTATTTATAAATCAGCGTGTACTTTGTACGGTAATTTAATTCTGGTTAAAGTCAAAGTCAAAATCATTTAGGTAACACAATGTTGACTTATGAACGTCAATTAAGAAAAACATATTAAATGCTTCTAATTTTACATTTACGGCCAGTTCAAATCAAGGGCGTAGAACGGAAGAGAAGAACTGGCAATAAACTCAAAAACACTCGAAACCTCAAATTATTTAACATATAATTGATTCGCGTTTGTCAGCTAGTAAACTAAATCATAATTTGTAAAAGATCTTACCCGAGCACAATTCACCGTTAACCCAAAATGTTATTCTATCCATCATCCATGAATGACTGACGTGGATTATTGGATGTAAAATGCATGGAATCAATCCAATCATATTGGCAACATCCAGTAAATAATGTTACAGTTAGTATACGAAAGTGTTATATTTATTTATTTGGTGGAAATTGGAGGCTTTGAAGAATGGACAGTCGTAATGGCGGGGTATAAGATAACTACAAAGTTGTGGCTGCGAGATTAATGTCAGGGTACGAGATACCCTTAACGTCGGGGCTCCGAGTATCCCAATGTCGGGGTACGATATAGCCACAATGTCGGGGCTGCGAGTATCCCAATTTCGGGGTACGATAGAGCCACAATGACGGGCTGCGAGTATCCCAATGTCATGGTACGATATAGCCACAACGTCGGGGCTCCGAGTATCCCAATGTCGGGGTGCGATATAGCCACAATGTCGGGGCTGCGAGTATGCCAATGTCGGGGTGCGATATAGCCACAATGTCGGGGATGCGAAAAACGAAAAACTTCGCCAGTCCCCGTTGTCCACTCACTGCACTACTGAGCCATGTGTTCTGCAGTGGTTTGAGATTTCCTCTCGTATGAACCCATCAATAATTCCAGTTCAGATTTGTCGCAAAGCCTGATTCAACTACGCTTATCTAGATCGAACAAACAAGATCAAGATAAATAATGAACACGTGGTTGTCTACGACGAGCTGAAAAGACAAATAAAACAGCTAATGGGAATGGCTGACGTTCAGTGTTTGTAAGCGAATCCCACTTCTGGTCGTCTTGACGGGTATTTAACATAAAAGACTAATCGATCGAAGATAATTTATCACACGCCCTCCGCAACCGTATATTTATTAAAATATTACTATTATGTATAGAACAAGCAACAGACGTTGTCCTGCATGATATTTCAAGCGATTAGGACATTAAACAAAGGTTGAAAGTACCGACTGCAACGCCATCTGCCGGGCTGATATGTGAATCTAAACCATCCAGGGCGCCACCCACACGCATACAAAAAACTAATTATTCAAATCGATATACACACGTACAGTAGAATTTTATATAAAGATAGACATTTATTATAAAGACGAGATTATTAACTACAACTTTAATGACTTAATAATTGCTTAAACCAATGTTTAATGATGCCACACTTTTGTTAATCACGAAACTTAAATCGATATATACATAAAACAAAATTCCATAAACACATAGTTGTTTGATTAATTAACACTAAAAATTATTTGTAGTCAAAAAAATGCTATTATGCAATTTCTTTTTTCTATTTTATTCCCGGTTCTAGTAATAATACTTCTCAGTTTTACTCACTCCCGCATTTTTATCTTCATTATTTACATAGAAAATAGTAACAATAGTGGGTAAATTCCCATCTCCCAAACAAAAAAGATTATTAAAATAATATATCAACTATTTAATATTTATTCTAATATACACAAAATCTTTTTAAAACGACATCGTGATGCTGAGCTAGCGGCATTTTTTTGGATTTCGGTTTTCATTTTGTTCTTTACCAACCTAGTCCGTTACCAACCTTCCCTCCTACAACATAACACAACCAAACTTAGAAGTAAAGATTGTATATTTTTTAAACTCTACGTTTGTTTAAAGGATATATATCTTAATTTTCCACTAGCTAGTGGAAAATTTTGAGTTACCGATTAATTGAATCTAGTTGCGTGCAGGCGCGTAATTAACAAGTATTATTAATTAATAAACTTTATGAAATCATAAATGAGATAGCGATATACGTTTTCCGTTATTTTATTGAAAGCAATGAATGCCCTGGAAATAACAAGAATTTTGGACAATTTACGAATAGGTTAGTGTCGCTTCATATTTGATATAGGTACAAGTATTATGTTTAACGAAGACTTAGCTAGTTCTAGGCGCGGTAGCAGAGGCGGGTTTACAAATTTTCAAGGTCAAAGGATTATTTTTAGAATCCCACATTTTCAATTTCCATTTCCAATTCGTTGCACATAAAATAATGCATGGGTTTGATTTTTGAGCACAAAATAATACACAAACCATCCAGTTCGCAGCCTCCCACCAAGTAGTAGGACACATACTTATAGGTTGACAGGGAAGAGGACACTTTCTGCAATTTCGCTCTTTTCACTAATATAATGTTTGAGCTACGGGCGCAGAGGTCGATTACTGCTTCTATCTGTAAAACATCAGAAAACCGTCATGTAGAAATCTTTTTGATTTCTATGTGATAGCACAAAATATTGGTTTCCAAATTTGCCGCCCCAAAAATCTGCCGCCCTATGCTCCAGCCTACACAGCCTGCTGGTAAATCCGCCACTACGCGGTAGCCATGGCATTTCAAGAAAATGAGGTTAGGTTTCCATCACATTACATCTACATTAATCTACTCTTTTCTACGAAGGGACTTTCAAAGAATAACATGCAGATATATTTGTAATCGGCTTTTGCCTGAAAGAAAGTGCAAAAATAAGGAGTAAATGATTGTTGCCCCATCAATTACAGCGACACTGACCACATCTAAGTCAGAGTCTGGCCCCTCAGTACTTGAACAAGTGTTTCTGACTTTATGTAAAGTCCCTAGCCGCTAAACCCCTTCAACGCATTGTTACAAATAGTTCTTTAATTATTACATTAGGTCCCGCCAGCATTGTACCAAGAGTCCACGTTATCCAGGATAATGTGTTGCAGGGTTATAAGACCAGTTGCTCTCGTAACCCTGCAACACATTATCCTGTCATCCTTAGGGTTTAATGAGTAGCAATTTCTAGCGCCTAACACGTGATCTGCTGGAATGTCTTCTTTGGAACAATAAAACGAAAACAATAAGCTACTTCCTCCCCACTTTCTCCACCCAATAATCCGCCGCGATTATTTTAGCTATTATCACGTACCTGTACTTCTCAATGTTCCTGGCGAGTGGATCCAATTTTTTCGTATTAGCTTCGTCTTTTTCTTCAATAAAGTATTCAAATAAGTGGCTGCCCGTCTGACACATGCCCAGATCACATAAGGCTCTCTTGCTTTTTTTTAGAACCGCGGTATTGGTTTTACCTTCATAAAAGCCCTTTACTTCGACTTCCTTTTCTAGCGTTACCAGTACTGCTGACCGCGGTGTAAGCGGTGCCTTTCCACTCAGCTCTTTGTTTTAGTACAATCACTGTTTTGCTTTAGCAGTGAATTTGTTCTTCCTTTTCCTCAGTTTCTCCGTAAAAACACTTGTTCCTGAGGGGCCAGACTGTGACTTAGATGTGGTTAGTATCGCTGTATTTGGAACAATCATTTAGGCAGGCAAAGGCCGATTATAAATATGGTATATCTGCCATGTTAATCTTAAAATGTCCTTTCGTAGAATCTCTAATTAGATCCTGTGCAAAAGATTTTAATGTCTCCGTTAGCCACTCAAGTGACTCAACACCCTTGGTGGACCGGGTATAAAGTTCCCTCTTGAGTTCCTTTATTTCTTTTTTAGATTCCTCCAAGCCTCCATACCAACCTTCTTAGACTGAAGGAAAGAAACATCTTGTGTGTATTTTGTAAAGGAAGAAACTCCACTAGCTGTTGTATTTCCCTTGCTGCAGCTTTCAGTTCCTTCGCATATTTTTTTTATGTAATAGGAGGAAAACGGGCAGGAGGCTCACCTAATGTTTAGTGATACCGCCACCCATGGACACTCACACTGCCATAAGGCTCGAAAGTGCGTTGCCGTCCTTTCAAAGTATATCATTTCAACGCGATATTTTTAGAATTATTTAGTTTAATTAAATACTAGAACAATATGAATGAATGACTATAATGGCTGAGTTTTTTCTAGACAAGCCTGACCGGCTGACGAAAACCGGAATTTAGAACCTATAAACCATTTCCCGGTGCCATTGACTTTTTATAGACAAAATGTATTTTATTTTCCATGTTCTTAGGTATCTTTGATGTTACAGCTATAGTTTTGTATAGTGAATAATCCATTTTCTGGTGACACAATAGTTGTTCCTTTTTTTTATTTATAAATGAAACAAGTGTGTCAGCCCTAAACGTGAGCATAGCGTAATGGTATAAATTGCGCCTAGCAGAATATTGAGGCAACGCACTAGACAGATTAATTATTTGAGTATCGAAGTAAATTAAAGTAATTATTTTTTCTGTAGAAGGATATGTAAAGTAGTGAAGGTTTCTTCTGCTCATACAATTACTGCACTTTTTAAATATTTATTAATTATTATTTCTAAGAAATCTCTTTTGTTTCTTCGTTTGTACTTTTCTGCTACTCTTATTTCTCTTTTACCACGGTTAGCTTGAAAGATATCTTTATTATAAATCTGATTTATTTTTATGATTTTCTCATGTGCCAAAAAAATTATTACAGAATGGCAACCACGAGATGGAAAAAGGAAAAGAAGAAGACAGCGCAAGAGATGGGCAGACGATATTAGGAGAATAGGAGGCGACAAGAAGAGCTAAAATCAGAAAGGAATGGAAGCAGCTGGAAGAGGCCTATGTGTCACAGGACACGCTGATTACCAAAAACGGGTCATGAATACATCAAAACCATCTAATAAGATTAGATTAAGTTAGGTTATGTAACTTAAATAAGTGTTAATATATTGTACTGGGTGTCGGCAATAAAGGCTTGATAATGATAATAATATGGTGATAAGTATAAATCAATTATAGAAAATCCATACAGTATTTTTTTCTAAACTAATTACTATAATATACATATATTTCTATCTTATGTCAATATATTACTTTGTCATTTGTTAAGATTAATGATAATGATGGATGGCAGTGATTTGTAACTCTGGTTATTTATGAACGAATGTCAGCAATTTGAATTATTTAAAGATAAACACAGAATTTAAGGAAACTTTTATTTTCTGTCTTCGTTGGACATTATAGTTAATTGCAACAAAAAATGGAGACATTCAATCCAAAAACATATAAGTTGTGTTTATAAGTTTGAAGGTGAGTCGTTTGATGTACATATTTTTTATAAAAAGTAAATTTTGAAGTTCTGTGGTGGTTTTTTGTAAGGAGATGTTCAAATAAAACACTTTGTTTGAAACTGGGTTTGTTTGTTTGAAACAACTAATTTTGAATGGTTCAAACTATGAGCTTATAACTAACAATCAATACTTGGCGATTGAAAAGAGTGGCGGAATGTTTCTTGCCAGTTCTTCTTACCCGCTCTACGCCCTTGACTTGCGAACTGGTAGTAAATGTAAATTTACAATTAATTTAACTTATTTCTGACGATTCATAAGCGTACTTGTTTTCCTACATGAATAAAGATATTTTGAGTTTGAACATAGTTCCAATTCATTTAATTATGACGTCAACTGACGTCGCAACCTTTGTTTACTTACGGTACCTCATGATTCGATTGAATTAATACTAAATATATATGACAATTCAAAATAATCCTCTCCATTATAATTACAGGAAATAATCCTACACTATTTAGCCGCAATCAAATAGTCGATTTATTAAATGACTCAGACAAGGCCACGGCCGCACAGTCGCCAGTTGATTCGCCACCAGACTGCCGTAGTTTATTTTCGGAGTTTCGCGATGATACAACGGTGATACGAAGAAAAATTTTGTGATTTAAATAGATTTAGTGATTTTTATATTGTGATGATATATGGCTGTTTCTGAGATGTGAAAAGGGTGTAATATATATCGTTATAACTGTAAAACGGACTTCTTTATAAGGTATGTTCCTAGATAAAGGTAATCAAAATAAGAAGTAAAAAATTGTACCTAAGCGTTAATACGTATTTAGTAGTATGCGTGTATTAAAAACACTTTTTTTTGGCAGCTGAATAAACATTTGCCTATTAAACTCAAATTAGTTGTGGGAACGATCAAATTTATACACAACTTAGCTAGCTTTTTAGTAGCTACATACCAACATATGGAACATTTTGCTATGCTACCCCATAGAGACGGTTCGCTTTTCTGGAATAAAAACTTAAGTAAATTTCAATTTTTTATATATTTTCTCTCTATAAAAACCTTCAACAGAGTTCAAGGAATATATATAACATATGTTCGCTTCATTTTTATTTATGGTAATATTACTTTCAGACCAAAAATTTTAACTATCTTTTTATTTTCATGATAAAAATGCTCATAAAAACTCAGCGGCGTCACAAATATGATTCATATTTCTAATATTAAACACGTTTGGCCTAGAAAACTTTTACTAATGGAAAAAGCTTCTTATAAACGGATAACAAAAGATGAATTTTTGTTCGCAAATACTTGTGTGTGAACTAGATTTCATTAAAAATAAGTTTAATCATAGCTACGGTAAAATCCCAATATTATTAAAGATATTATGATAAATAGAGTTGATATATATTTACGTGATTTATTATCCTAATGGCGCGTCTAAACGGGCCATGTTTTGCTGCAATTGATGGCTGCACTGTTGGCCACTAATTGCCCGGCCATTACAAAAATATTTTAATGCAGCTGATGGCCGAACAATCTATGGCTGGGCAATGTGTTGCAATAGTATGGCCCATGATGCAGACTCCTAAACGGGCTACACAAACCGGCAACAATGGCTGACAAAATCACACTTGTCGCAGCAGCTTATATTGTTTTAAAAAAGAAACAGAAAAAGAAGAGATTGTGGATTCGACCTTACTTAAATAGGCGTGAAACTGTAGACAATTTGAGTCTAGAAATAAGTCTTGATAATAAATTATTCAAGAACTAGAATGTCAAAAGTAGTCATTTTTACGTAGTAATCTAACGTCAAATACAGCTGATCGCAAAACACAGAATAAAGCAACAGGCACACTTCACTCAAAGCAAACGTCATGTCGCGTAGAAAAGGATACACTATGCCATAACAAAGAGAGTGACTGAAACAACAAGAGAACTGGCCGTGCAATATTGCAGTTGAATTCGATAGCCTAGCGATCGTCCGGCCACCTATCGGGGCAACATCGGCCATATGTGGCTATACAAAACATGTTTGGCTATATGGCCGGGACATTACTGCAATATTGCATAGTGTGGCTGCTATTGTTTGCAATGTTGCCGGCCACAGTGTTGCAGCCATCAATTGCAGCAAAACATGGCCCGTTTAGACGCGCCATAATATACTTATTCATAAAAACAAAATCAGTATAATCGTTTGAACTGAATTACTCATCTGTCTCTTTTCATCATAGCATAAACTCAAGTTTACAGTAAGGGACAAGAGAGTCTTTGCAAAAGCTTGATTGCGAAAAAATTTCAGCCCCTTAAAAGAGATTTTAATACCACTATCAGTTAAAATTGGTTTTGAATGTACATAAATCCTAAAATCATTGTAACTGGTACATTTAACAGAATGAAATCTTAATTAATATATATGTGTTTTAATTTATCTACAATACTTTTATTTTTCAACTTTAAATCAACTTCCACCTCCTTCGTTGGCCTTATACGCTCATGTACCAACCAAACTGTAACTGCAATATCTCCCAGATCATTTTTCCTAATCTTCAAAGGACTGACCACTTCAAATACCTTGGTGTCGTCATCGATCAAAAATTAAATTTTAGCAGGCACGTCGAATCCCTGGTATCAAAATTACGTAAACTTATTTTTGTCTTCAAGAATCTCAAGCACATCGCTGATCGCAGCGTCCTTAGGATGGTATTCTATGCCTTATGTCATTCTTTGGTTGTGTATTGTATACCCAGGGCCGCGCCGCCCATGTGTGCGAAGTGTGCGGTGCACACAGGCGCTGATACAATAAGGGCGCCGCCACCGAAATTATTTATACTACACTACAATATTCTTACGTACGTTTGAAGTTTCATTTTACGCTTTAGGTTTTAGTTTACATTAATTACTCAGAGCTTAGCGAATCAAAAGAAAGGCCGCTGGTGACCGCCGTGAGTTTTTTGAGTGTGTTTATGTCTTATGATTTCAATAATATGCCGACATACCTTGATAAAATCCAAAATGAACTATTTTTTATACTCGGTAACCAAATTCAACATTTTATTTTAAATTTATGTCGAATTAATAAATATTTTTCAATAATACTGGATTGTACTACTGACGTTTCACACGAAGAGCAAATTAGTATGATAATAAGATTTGTCAACTTTAACATGTAAACTAGAAAGTTAAGAATAAGAGAGCATTTCCTAGCTTTCCAATTTATAATAGCACTTTCTGCTCAATCGTAGATACAACTGGCGCTGGAGTAACGTCATTTATAATAGAAAAACTAAACGAAATTAATTTGGACATAAAGAACTTAAGGGGGCAAGGCTATGATAATGGCTCAAATATGCGCGGTAAGAATATTGCGGGATGTACGAGTAAATCTCCGCACTTTTTATGTCCGTGCGCCAGCCATAGTTTAAATTTAATAATAAATGACGCTGCACATCTCATACACGACTGCGTTTTTTAATATTGTGCAAGAACTATATAAATATTTTTCGTCCTCTACTAAAAGATGGGATTTATTACAAAGATATGTCATAAATCTGACCTTAAAAACGGTTAGATAAAAATAACATCATGAATAAACTATGTAACAATTTAATTCACGTTTTATTTTTCACGGCAATTGGCCAGCGGACGTTTTACCTATTTAAGTGGATTAAACTAAAGAAAAATTTTCTTTCAGTCAAAATTAAAAAATACATTGAAACTTGAAGATTCTTAAAAAATAGGCCGAAATATAGAAGGAGTTCCCTCAAAGGCCTGCAACACACCCGCTAAAAATGTCTATGAGATTCAATGACTGCCATTTTTTTCCGTCCCTAAGGCTCGTTTGACCCCTATAGAAAAAGGAGGCGCTTCATGGGTTTCGCACACAGGCGCTGCCGGGGGTCGGCGCGGCCCTGTGTATACCCTCGTGGGGAGGTGTTGCCAAAACATACCTAATTGAGGTCGAGAGAGCTCATTGAGGTTTGTTTTGGTTCGCTTTCCCACAGCTGACTTATATAAGGATTGGGATGTATTATCCGTTAGACAAACTTTCATCCTGTACACTATTCTTACAAAGCATTCTGAGATAGAATACGATCATAAACTTGTAGATGGAAGGCGTAGAAAGGATTCCGTATGCCGTCCTCAACTTTTCAAAACAGCTCTTTCCCATAGTTCGTATTGCTTTCTAGGTACCCATTTATACAATAAACTTAACAAAGACCTCCAAATTTATCATCTCACAAAATACAATTGTAAAAAAGTAGTAACTAAATATCTCAAATCGCTAGATTACCAAAGCACAGAAAATCTATTACGACCCCTAATTTAATTTAATAAATGGAACGTTTTTCTCGCCCACACTAGTCTCAATTTAGCTCACTCGCACACGCACACGCACTCACACTGACCCGTACACTCACACACACACACACACTCACAAATGCTTTAACTTTTTTTCTATCTATTTTATTTATTTTTTTATTTTTATTTTTTTCTTTTATATATATTTTTATAAATTATTTATTGTTCGTTCGTATTTAAAACTTGTATTAGCAATACTTTTTGCCACTATGTTCAAGAGGGACTGGTGACTTGTAATAACAGGTTTTCCCAACCTTTTTCAAGCACCAGTCTCTCAGTATAATACATAGCTTTATGCTTATTGTCAAGTTTATTATTAATTATTAATAAAGTTAAAATTAAATTAAAGTTCTCATCAAGAATATTTGACCATCCACTTAAATGAGAAATTATAGTTACTAGTAATACAATAATACATCATCATCAATGGCTATACAGCCCCTTGTGGGCCTTAAGTACATCGCAATCGCAATCTTTCCAGTGCTTCAATGCAATAGGTGTTCAACTTCGAACACCTATTGTTTCGAGGTCCTTGACAACTCCATCCCAGCAACGCAGCCTCGGTCTACCGGGTTTAAAATACAGTGTACGTAACAATAAAACATTAGGCTAGCTTATTGTATAGTACTAGTAAAAAAAAATACAACAGTAGGATAGAAACACAATTATAAATTTAAAAAAAATACAACAGTAGGATAGAAACACAATTATAAATTTAAAAAAAATACAACAGTAGGATAGAAACACAATTATAAATTTAAAAAAAAATACAACAGTAGGATAGAAACACAATTATAAATTTAAAAAAAATACAACAGTAGGATAGAAACACAATTATAAATTTAAAAAAAATATAACAGTAGGATAGAAACACAATTATAAATTTAAAAAAAATACAACAGTAGGATAGAAACACAATTATAAATTTAAAAAAAATACAACAGTAGGATAGAAACACAATTATAAATTTAAAAAAATATTTTTTGCAATGAGATGCCACAAAACATTAAACTAATTATTTAATATTATTTTAGACACAGAAACATACGACTAAGAATAAATAAAAAAACAGAAAAGCAATAACTAACCGTAAAATATAATAACTAAAATATATTATTAAAAGGAGTCCCTCTAGGCAATGTTCCGAAGATACCGGCAGCGTTCTCCCTGTGAATAGCTAGACTAATTCTTTGTCCGAGGTAGCTGTCAGCTCTTCGGCCTGGGATGTCGACTAACCTTTTTGCTATTTCCTTAAAAAGCCTTATAGCGCTCGGACTCCACGTACCAAGGGTCTCGACACCGAATGGGACAGAATCATATTAGGAGCCTAGACCCCGTATTTGCACGCTTTAGCTTTTTCAGCCGCTTCACAAGCCGTACCAGCTCTGTTGTTGGTTCCGTGTAAATGGGAAGGGGCCAGCGTGTCTGAACAGGTTGCATCCCATACCAGCACCCGGCCCAACTTCCATGGAATCAAACTCATACCGTCCGGTCTCTTGCCATCGGCTCTTGCAGTCAGCTCAAGTAGACTACACTAATTATTTTAAATAATAAGAGATTTGTATGTGACGATGAACACAGAATGTTATATCTTTACATATAATTCTACTGTACGTGTGTATATCACAGAACTCCTCTCAAACGGCTAGACCGATTTCAATGATTTTTTTGTATGCGTTTGGATGGCTCCCTGGATGGTTTAAATTCACAAATCAGATGGCGCTGCAGTCGGTATCTAGGTTATTTATCTATACAGCAAATAAACAGCTGGTATATATATATGTAAATAATAAATCTTCGGTGCATGTGTTCGTAATTAAACTCCTAAACGGCTGGACATTATTGATGAAATTCATTGTGTTCAAGTGGAGTCGAGAATGATTAGATTTTTTTTATATGTAAAACCTACGTCTGTCGGATCCGCTATTAGCAAATATAACATTCTGTAATGATTATTCAATATTCAATATTTCGTTTTTCCAGAAACATGTCACTGCCGATGCTACGCCGTTGTTGCGGGTGTATCTCGTTAGAAATAGGATGCCTTCTACTTGCTATTATTTCCAGTGTAAGTACATCTCTTACATATTTACTCGTTATAATACATACAACAATCAAATATAAAGCTAGAAACGTCTTTTGTAAATAAATATAATTAAAATTAATCAAAAATCAGTGGCGCTACAACCTTTTTTTAGGTCTGTGCCTCAGATTTCTGTATCTGTTTCATGATCACTAAATAAATTCAAATCTCTCGTTAAACGTAAATTACTCAATAAAGCTTTTTATGAATTTGACGAAAACTTAAATGATCCTAATCCTTGGGATTGATTTGCTCCAGTTCAAACAGTTTGTATGACTTAAAACTAAACGATTAAAAAGAGTGGCGGAAAGTTTCTTGCCAGTTCTTCTGGCCCGCTCTACGCCCTTGACTTGCAAACTGGTAGTAAATGTAAATTTACAATTAATTAAACTTCTTTTTTAACGTTAATACGTGTACTTGTTTACCTATATGAATAAAGATATTTTGAGTTTGAGTTTGATCCTTTCTCATAATAATCTCCTGTCTAAGGCGATATTTTCCTTCACCGTTCACCTCCAACGTTCACTCATGATGCGGACATAGAATTAATGTCCAGGTTCACAGCCGGGTTCACAATCTGTCGTAGGTTTGATCAGGGATGAGAATCGCACGCTGAAGCCACCAGGCTAACACTGCTCAATAAATATAAACCGTGTAAACAGATTTAATTGAACCATCTACTATGTCATCTACTGCTAGCAATGATTATATATTATTTTTCTTCCCCATCTATTAAAAACTTCAAACTTATTATTTAATTAAAAAAATATTAACTATTCGTTTTAATTTCTGTTTTGTGTATTGCAGGTGAGCTGTATATTGTATTTAATAGCGGGATGCTGGAACCTCCCACAGCATACGGAAAGAGAAAAAGAAGATAACCTTATATCCATGACAATGATCATGTTTTCAACGCTTTCCCTCATCAGTAACGTGTTTGTTCTAATCGGTATTGCAAGGGTAAATGCAAACTTATTATATTTAGTATATTATTATACTTAACTCGGTTTTGATTCTCAAAATGACCATGATTGCTCGTTCCACAACTGAGTGTTTCGTAAGGCAATTCGCAAAATATTAATATAAAATAAAATATAGTTATTTTAAAACTACGACTACTTTTTAGAAATTCATAGAAATCAAATGATGTCATGGTCAATTATGTCCCAAAATAAACAGTGCTTTGGACAATCAGAGACCATTTTCTTAATTTAAATAATTCTGGATTTCAGAGGCGACCGAACTATCTACAACACTCTCTAATGTGCAACTCCATGTTCATACTCTGTATCTTCCTTGTGGTGACAGTAACCTGTATCTATAGTCCAGAGTTCAAGCCCTATAAACAATCCCCAGTGAATATTGTCCTTATTGTAATTGCCTGGATATGTGGAGCTGGTAAGTCATTTTTTTTTTTTTTTTTTTTTATAGAACGGGGGGCAAACGGGCAGGAGGCTCACCTGATGTTAAGTGATACCGCCGCCCATGGACACTCTCAATGCCAGAGGGCTCGCGAGTGCGTTGCCGGCCTTTTAAAAATTGGTACGCTCTTTTCTTGAAGGACCCTAAGTCGAATATATATTTTATTATATATTTTATTTATATTTTACACACGGTAATATTGTAACATTATACAACGTTATCTTAGTTTTCTACGTACTAGTATTGTCCCAAAATTTGTCATCATAATGTTATTTAATTATTACCTTTAATTATTGTAATTCATATTCAATTTATAGTAAAAAAAATTACTTTGCATTGCCCAGCGGGTTATTTAAAATCGTGTCCTGTTTCAATATCATTCTCGTACGTAATTCCAAGATTGCTGATATCGTGATGGAGGTATAAAAAGTATGTAAAAATTAAATTAAAATTAATTAGAATTTTGGGTATTAGTTTTACAAAGTACTTCAACTATTTATCCTGTCGCGCTTCCCTTACCTAAAAAGACTTATTATTTAATTAGCCTCTTACTTGTGATCTATCCGAAACAGCTTATTATGTTCATGATTTTGTAGATAGTTTGTAAATTTTAATTGTATTACTATTTAAGAAAAGATGAAATTCTGAGAAAAGGGAACGCTTTTTAATAATATTAGAAGATTTTATCTTAGGTTATTTTAATAAAATTATTATTATTTTCAGCTTACTCTATGTACTATTTGGTTATAGTGAACAGTCTGTATTTAAAAATGAAGTTTTCATACAGTGAAACTGGCTTGCCAATGTGAAGTACTCACTGTTCGCATTTATTCTTGTCGTAAGTATATTTATTATATGATTTAATTGTAAGACAAAATATTTTATTCCAATAAAGCGTCTAAAAAGTTTAATCTAGTTTTTCAAAATAAGGTACAGTGCCACATACATTTCTTGGCCGGTAAGAGCGTCGCTGTTATGGATATTAGTTTTACCTGTAAATAAAAATTTACTATTAATAATTTCAAGTCAGTCAGCAAGCCAGCATGGCTTACTTTATTATATATTGAAATATTTTAATAAAACAATGTGTACTACTTGTAATATCTAGAAAGTACAGTTCTATCTAGACTTAAATAAATGTGTCACAAACTTAATAACAACAGATATGATAGGTTTTCTTACCTGTATTGTTAATATAATATATTTTAAGATACCTAGCAATCAGAGCGTTCAATAATTAAAACTTTGCCACTGTAATGAATAATGCAAGAAATAAATATATTTTAGATTGATTTTTATTAGATATTGGTAGATAGTAAGTTTATTTATTGTACGCACCCATGAAATTACAGAAAATAAGCAATGTCAGTCTGACATTTCGAAATGGCGACATTAGTACCAATTTCAGCCGCCAGCCAAGAAAAGTATGTGACACTGTAACAGTAACTGATACCCTTCTCTTCAACAATTAATTATGGGGTATTTTTTTCGGTCTTCTCTTGATATTTCTGCAATTGTTGCATTATTTTGAAGTGAAACTTCTTTAGGCGCATGAGGGTAAAATTTTTAAAAAACGTCACGAAGATGTGCAGCGTTTTTGTGGAAGAAAAGGGAGAGAGCGATTGAGACCGATTGCGTGAGGGTGCGAATGGTGAATTACCTTTTAGAAATTACATTTTTTTAAATAAAATTTCGTAAAGAGAATTTATGAAATATTAGTATTTTATATTTTATGCAAAATAATTTATTGAAATCTCAAATGACGAATTGTAAATTAAAATGCCACGTGTTTTTATTATCGAAGAAACAAATTTAAAAAATGAAATTTATTATTTGTATAAATTTTCGACACCTTTAATATTTTAATGACAATTAAATTCCTAACATATCTTCCTTTTTCCCTCACTCTAAGTCTCGAAAATCTAAAGTTTTAGATTTGTATAAATATGAACAAGAGTAAAAAATTAGTTTGCCAAAGAAGTTTCACTTCTGACACGTACTCGAACACGCACACGTACTTTGTACGCACGCATTTTCGTTTTTGTTTATTAGCAAGTATAAACTTACTTGTAGCGGTTTGATTAATACTTGTCTAGTTGGTATGAAGACCTCACCCCAAGGGCTAAAACATACATTTGAGCACAGCGGTGGACGAACACACTATTTTCGAATCGCAACAAAATCGTTCTTGTTCAAAATTATTTTTACAGTTCCATCAGGGTTGTCTATGCAAGATCGCACTATGTATTTGTTTTGAATGTATACAGCAGTTACAAATAAGAGTTATATATTAAAATAATATAAGTATTTGACTTATTTATTTGTTTGATTAGGAAACTGCAACGTTCCAATAAGATTCACACTACCAGGAACAAAATGGTAGAGGGTCTACTGGTGAGGTCAATGGCCTAGAAGCTACGTTAAGAAACTACAGACTACTGCTACGAGATGGCGCTAAAATTTATTTGTATAGTACAAGATATAGTTCTCTGTACGTAAGTTTGCGAATATTTATTTTTATTTAGGTATTTTTAATAACTTTTGTAATTAAATTAATTGCGTGTTATTGCTAAAATACGTGCCGAGATCTGTATTCTATCAAATTAAGAGGTTCTTAAAATTGAATCGATAAAATTTTACACTGTTTTATTTGAGTACTCACTCATCACTTTTGATCAAAATTTTATATACACTATGATGAAAGGGCCAGCTAGAGGATTAACAAAACAGTATAACTAGATTGCTTTTTGGTTAAGTGTACATCGCTTATGTCATGTGTGATATTTTAACTAAGCCAAAACTAAATATAACGTAAACTAGTCACTATACATATTGATTATTTAAGTAATTAATTCAGTCCTAAGGATGCCCCGTGGGGTAGGAGAGCATTCTGATGAACCTGAAACTAATTTAGTTACTGGGAATCTATCCTACGTGTTATGCGTACTGGGCGTTTACTATGAAATCTCACCTTTACATGTAGCGCCTGTGGAACATGTGTGTATAGTACAAAATTTTTTTAAATACTAGTATGTAAGTATAAGTATTTTAAATTAAAAATACATGAAGCAACTATTAGGTTTACATTTTTCTCAAATCAAATCAATATATCATTTTATTAATAAAATTAAAGAAACTCAAACTCAAACTCAAAATATCTTTATTCAAGTAGGTAACCAAGTACACTTTTGAATCGTCAAGTTAAATTAATCGTAAATTTACATTTACTACCAGTTCGCAAGTCAAGGGCGTAGAGCGGGTAAGAAGAACTGGCAAGAAACTTTCCGCCACTCTTTTTAATCGCCAAGTATTGTCATACAAATTGTTTGAACTGGAGCAATTCAATCCCAAGGATTAGGATCATTTAAGTAGTCCTCAAATTTATAAAAAGCTTTGTTGATTAATTTTCGTTAAACGAGGGCTTTGAATTTATTTAGTGATAATTCTCTAATTTCGCTTGGGAGCTTGTTGTAAAAACGAATACAATTTCCATATAAGGAGTGGTTTATCTTTTGGAGCCTGGTTGGTCGTACACTCAAATTAGTTCTATTTCGCGTATTATACTGGTGAAAGTCACCATTTGTTTTAAAATCGTTTATATTTTTTGGACATACAACTAATAAAATTAAAGAAACTCAGCTGCAGGTATTACTCCGAACAACTCCTCTGAATACTCCGTGGTAAATGCGGTAGTTGATGCTGAGTGATCCCACATCTCTACGCGACGCCAAGGAATCAAGCCGCTCGGAAAGTGACTGGTCGTCTACGATTCGAATCGCTCTTTGTTGAATACGGTCAAGCAGAAAGAGCTGGTACTAGGGAGTTCCCGCCCAGAGGTGAGAACAGTACTTCATGTGGGGTCGAATTTGCACTTTATACAGCTGCAAGCGGTGGCCCGGGGTGAAGTACCGTCTCACCTTGCTGAACACAACTAGCTTCTTAGAAGCTTACTTAGCCTTTCCTTCCAAATGACCGCGAAACTGAACGTCATTCGATATGTCAACGCCGAATATCCCGATGCTAGTTGATGCTTTAAAACGAGTGTTGTCGAAGAGAGGAGTAGCGACAAAAGTGTTTTTTTTAGCGGAAACACGCGAGCAATCTGGCATTGAGAGTGACCATGGGTGGTATCACAAAGATTTTCTGCCTGTTATCAAATCAAGGGCATAGAACGAGAAGAACTGGCAATACTCGCTGTTACTCTTTTAAATCGCATTTCTGATAAATATTTGTAAGCACCTGCAACCATTATCGTGCTCCTCATAATATGTCAAAGCAGTTACATATTGTAATTAAAATTAAAATTTCAATAAGATAACCAAACGTTTCACCTCTATTAGCAAATTTGTATGTAAAATATTTTATATATTAATCTACGTACGAAACACACTTAGTAATATGATTTCTCAATGCCAGCAAAACAGAACCAAGATAACACTTCTTCGCAAACTTCATTACTGAAGATATTTGTCTTGAAAAGCCCTAAGCGATACATCGACTTGCTGCCTCCTCTATCCTTTAGCTTGTCTCAATGCATTAGGGATGTTGAGACCCAAAATTGCCTTTACCTAGTCAGACCAACGGGTAGGTGGTCGACCCCGACTTCCCCTGCCTTTACTCTAACTACCAACTTGTCGAGACTATTTGGTTCTTTCCTGGAAATATGGCCAAAGTAGCTAAGCACCCGTTTATTGGTTCTTTTTTTTTTAACCATAACCACGCCCAATGACGTCTTAGAAGCATCGGTCAAGCATGATATTATGCTTGCCTTCAAGAAAGCCTGTAACTGTTGGTGTCCATGTTATTTGTTGAGAACTAATTTAACATATAAATTACCTCTGGCTAATCTTACACGCATAGCAATGGATTATTTTGATGGACGAAGATACGTTATGTTTGCGGAAAGATTTCCATTAGTGCCGTACGCAACTAAGTTTGAAGTTTATATGAAAAGGTGATCTGGGTAGAAATATTAATGAAACACGTTATTTTAACCCGTTTATTATACGTATATATAACAAAGCATTGTACAACAATCACAAACATCAATACATTTAAATACTAAATATACAATTTGTAAATAAATAGGACAACATTAATTGATCGATAGTTATGCTCACGTAGAAATATTTACAAGGTCCATCCAAATAGGTTACACCAATTTATATAGATTTATACAGAAGTACCCCGACTGATCCACCGAAAACTTCATACGTGTTTTAAAATAATCTTTATTTCTTGTTTCGTTTCGTAATGTGTCCGTTAATAGATTTTTAAAAAAATATTCATCTATAAGGGCAAAAACATTTTTGCAGGTTTTTTAGTTCAAGTTGTACGTAATTAAAATATAAAAATAGTTTTAATTACATATTATTATTTGTCTATTTTTAATAGCTAATTTAGAATACTGTAAATACGATTTGAAAGGTCCACAAGAAATATATATATCTATATGTGACATGTGTGTGTTTTATTGTCATTGATTACAGTCTAAATCTGTGATTCCCATCCCCCATTCAACATACATAATTTTTTTTTAAAATAATTGAAATTTTTACTTAAGAAACATTAATAAACGAAAAAACAGTAGGTAAGTAAATAGAAAGAAAAAAAAAGTAAATTTTTAAAATTTTAAAAAAGAACAATGATAAAATTAAATTAAAATTCCAAATAGTTTTTATTAATTTTTGAATAACAATAAATTTCCCCAACGTTGGGAAACACTGGTCTAAATAATACGCACTTATTAAAACCTATTTGCATCGACCTTTGCCATATTGTAAATCACTTCTAACAAGTATATGAAAGA